ATTTTTTGGTTTTGGTTTTGTTTTGAGAGGCTTTTGCTATAGAGCGTGTGCACTCGCCAGAAAGACAGAGACAGACAGACAGCAAGAAATCACCCCCTATGGGATATGGCCACAATCCCTTTTCCCCTCAGGATCTTGGGCACACGCACACGCACACACACACTCGGCGTGAGTTTAAGCCACCAGGTCTGGGACTCGAACTGTGGTCAACTACATGGGAGTCCAGCAACATAGCCATTATGCCAACTGCTGGTTCCCCTAAACTCCTGTTTGATGATAGACTGAGAGGTGAGAGTGGAAGCAGGCAGACTAGGAGAGGAACACAGGTGTCCAGGCAAGAAACTTGGGCCAGAGTGATAATGAGAGAGGAAGTTTCTCTAGGATAAGTTTTATGAGTAGAGCCAGTAGGACTTTCTGATACATTGGCATAGGAAACGAAGAGAAGATAGGACTGGAGAATGATGTCTGGGTCCTTAGTATCTTAGGTAATGAGGAAAAATTGGGAGAGGAGCAGAGTGTTCTCCTGTGGTTTCCCTGCCTTCCAGTTCAAAGACCAGGGAATTTCTGCAATGAAATAGGACTTTAGCTTTAGGATTTTGTTTTCTTTTAATTGTAGACGGCATGTGCACTTGGCCAGAGGAGAAAGCACCTCTTCCCAATGGGGACATGGTCACACCACAGTCCTTTTCTCTCTCTCTCTCTGTCCTCTGTCATGTTGGGATTTTAGGCATGCGTACACACGTGCCTGGTGTGTTTTTCTTTCTTAAAAAACATTTTTATTTTTAAAAAATTTGCTGTAGGGCACATGCATTCACCAGGGAGAGAGAGAAAATAAGCCGCCCCACCCAGTCGTTCCCCCCCCTCCAAGGTACTGGGCTGAGATTCAAACTGTAGTCAGCCATGTGGGGTCTGGCTCCTTTAACCACCAGGCTATAGGGCAGGCCCCTGGCTCCAACATTTTCTTTTCTTCTCTTTTTTTTTGAGAGGTTTTTGCTATAGGGCATGTTGCACTCGCCAGAAAGACAGAGACAGACAGACAGACAGAAAGCAAGAAATCACCCCCTACAGGATATGACCACAATCCCTTTACCCCTCAGGATCTTGGGCACACGTGCGCACGCGCCCGGCGTGAGTTTAAGCCACCGGGTCTGGGACTCGAACTGTGGTCAACTACATGGGAGTCCAGCGACATAGCCATTACACTGACTGCTGGTCCCCAATATTTCTTTTTTTTAATTGTTAGAAAGCAAGAAAATACCCTCCCCTCCCACAGGGCATGCTCATTTCATCTCTCTCCCTTTTTGGGATTTTAAACATTCATGTACTTGTACCCAGCAAGCTTTCCAAGCTGCTGGGTCCAGGACTTGAATTGCAGTTGACCATGTAGGAGTCCAGTGCCTTAACCACAATGCCACCTGCTGGCCCCTGTATATCTGAGTTTAAATTCTACCTCTGCAATTTTCTACTTCTTTTTTTTTTTGGAGAGTTGTTGTTTTTTTTTTTTTTTTGCTATAGGGCGCTGTGCTCGCCGGAGACAGAAAGCAAGAAATCACCCCCAAGGGGACATGGACATACCGCAATCCCTTCTCCTCTATTCTCCTCTCGGGATCTTGGGCACGCATGCACACGTGCCCAGCGCAAATTTAAGCCACTGGGTCCAGGACTTGAACTGCGGTCAACTACATGGGAGTTCAGCGATAAAGCCATTACGCTAATTGCTGGTCCTGCAATTTTCTACTACTATGACCTTGAGCAAGTTACTTGACTTTTCCAAGCTACAGTTTCCTCATTTGTTACATTTAACATAAGAACTTTCTGGTAGGATTGTTGTGAGCATTAAATGATGGAGTATTGACTGTACCATGCATTGTTCTAAGTGTATCATGGATATTAATTAGTTTAGTTCTTATAACAAATAGATGACACGTGGTAACTCTTACTTTGCCTTCTTTCAAATAAGGGAATTGAGATATACAGTGTTGGTGTATAACTGGTCCATGGTCATGGGCCAGGAAATGGAGGAGCTAGATTTGAAGCCTGGCAGTCTGGCTCTAGGATCCTGAGCCCCTGGGTTCTTAGTACTAAGCATTTCTTCTTTTAATGTGTGAAAAACGCCTGGCCCATCATGGGCTCTGGAGTTAGTGTTCTGACACTACCTCTTTTGTGTAGCCTTCCTCCTTTACCATCGAGAATCTAAACATGCAGGTGCTGATCCTTGTCTCACAGCCCAGGGCCTAGGCCTGTGTTCTCCCACTTGGCTCTCTTGCCTGCTCTTCTGTTCCTTTTTAGAACTGTCATGGCAATAGGCAGGATCTTTGGGGTGTCCTGACCTCTGCTGCTGTTTCCTTAGGTGGACATCTTCAATAAGGAGTTGCTATTAATCCCCATCCACCTGGAGGTGCATTGGTCCCTCATCTCTGTTGATGTGAGGCGACGCACTATCACCTATTTTGACTCGCAGCGTACCCTAAACCGCCGCTGCCCTAAGGTTTGAGGGGGTTGGGGGAAGATGGGCAGAATGTGGGGAGATCCACCTAAGGGTGGGCTTTGGGTCCCTGAGGAGCAACCTGGGCGTAGTATCAGCCACCACTATACCCTGGGATCAGTTGGGGAACTTAAGTTGTCACTTTCTCTTTTTCCACGTCCACATAGCATATTGCCAAGTATTTACAGGCAGAGGCGGTAAAGAAAGACCGACTGGATTTCCACCAGGGCTGGAAAGGTTACTTCAAAATGGTGAGTTTCCAGAGGGAGGATATGGAGTGGTGGTGGGAATAGTGGTAGGGGACAGAAATTAAACTCTTGGAAGTCTCCAGGTGAAGGGCCCACCTTTTTCTGTTCTCTAGAATGTGGCCAGGCAGAATAATGACAGTGATTGTGGCGCCTTTGTGTTGCAGGTAAGCAGGTGATGGGGCTGCCTCCTCTATTTTGGAGTCAGGGGGGTTAAAGTGTTGGGAGGAGGTTCTGCATCCCTCATTTGACTCATGGCCAGTTGTAGGGCAGGAAACAGAGTAGTGTTAGGATGCAGAAGCCCTGATTTCATTATTCCTCTCCAGAGTTCTCCATCCCACATCAGGACTGGGACTCTGGTCCTTGATCTCTGGCTCTGATAGAGCTGCCTCATGATCCACCACCACCCTCCACCCCGCCAGTATGTTGTCTCCCTCTTAAACTAGGTATTTCTTCTATGAGCCACAGCTCTAGCTTTAGAGTCAGGCTGTTTTTTTGTTTTGTTTTTGTGGAGAGGTTTTTGCTATAGGGCGTGTACGCTCGCCAGACTGAGAGAGACAGAGAAAGCGAGAAATCACCCCCTGGGGGGATGGCCACGCTGCAATCCCTTCTCCTCCATTCTCCTCTCGGGATCTTGGGCACGCACACACACGCACTCAGCATGAGTTTTAAGCCACTGGGTCCGGGATGTGAACCGCAGTTGACTACGTGGGAGTCCAGCGACACAGGCATTACACTAACTGCTGGTCCTGAGTCAGGCTGTTTTTGAATCCCAGGCTATGGGACCTTAGCTCCCTTTTGTATATGAAATGGGGATGTTTTCTGAAAGACTGAGGGAGACACATCTCAGATGAAATGTGTAGCCTGGGTCCTGAAGTAGGGGAAATGTTCAATAGCTGGTTCTCATGGCCTGCTTTGTTAACACCCAGTACTGCAAGCACCTGGCCCTGTCTCAGCCATTCAGCTTCACCCAGCAGGACATGCCCAAACTTCGTCGACAGATCTACAAGGAGCTGTGTCACTGCAAACTCACTGTGTGAGCCTCGTACCCCAGGCCCCAAGCCCGTTAATGGGCAGGGGGACATGAGAGACCCTTCCCAAGAAATTCCAGTTCTTTCCTCTCTTGCCCCTCCCCACCCAGTTTCCCTTTGGTTTTTCATATTTAAATGTTTTAATTGATTTCTGTATTTTTCTTTTCTTTGAGAGAATACTTGTTGATTTCTGATGGGCAGGGGGTGGCAGTGGAAAAGCCCCTTTCTCTCTCTGCCTGCAGGGGAGTGTGGCCTTGTGGCCTGGGTGGGTAGCAGCCCACTTTCACATGCAGGGGCAGGAAATAAGTGCTGGGGGTGGTGGGCGGGCAAAGGGATTACTGCCTGCCAGATCTTCAAACTTTTTTTTATATATATATATATAAATGCCACAGTCCTGCTCTGGTCAATAAAGGATCCTTTGGAGATACGTAAGTGGTGGTCTTCCTTAAGGGGCCTCAAACCATTGGGCATGCTGTATCTCAGGCAATGTTTCTTCCAGCCAGTGCTACCCATTCTGGGGTCTCGAGACTTAAAAGGCCAGCTTTACATCCCTGGGGCAGGCAATAACAACCCCCTACCTTCCTCACCCAAACAAGTCCCCATCCCGGGGAGCAGAGGGCAGGAAGGAAGGCGAGGAGGTAAGCCGCGAACATAAGGAATGTGAGGAAGGGAAGCTGGGGGGCAGGACACGGAAGGGACGAGGGAGGGGCCACAGGATTCTGACAGCCACCCCAGAGGTCCTTACGTCCAGAGGGAGCTTCCTCGCCACTCCTACCCAAGGGGTCTTCCCAGCTCCTAGGATACCGCTCCCGATTCTGTCGTCCCTGGCTCGCTAAGAACACCTGCGGGCTCCATTCTGGCTGCAGGGCAGAACTTAAAAACAGCCCAGTGGGAACTGGCTGAGGTAAAGATAAGTGGAAGTCCCGGAAGTCCCGGGAGGCTGAGACCTCGCCCCCCTTGTGTGATAGGCCCTCCCAGGCCACATGACTAAGGCGCTATCGCCTCCGCACGTGTAAGGGTGCAGGGCCCCAAGATGGCTGCCAGGCCTCGAGGCCTGACTCCTGTGTGTCACTTCCGTACCGGTGAGAAAGGCGGGCCCACTAGCCAATGAGGCCGGGGGGCGGGACTCCACCTTGATAGGCGTTCATGTTACCCAATGGCGGCTGCGTACTGGAGCGTCTACGAACTAACGTCACGACGGGTTGCTGAGCGTCGGCGGGCGGGGCCGGGGCGGCCAAGCCAATGCGATGGCTGGGGCGGGGTCGGGCGCTCTATAAGTCGTCGATAGGCGGGCCCTCCGCCCTAGTTTCTAAGGATCATGTCTGCGAGTCAGGATTCCCGGTAAGAAAAGCATTTGCAAGAGATTGTGGCTACCTTCGCTCCCTTCCGAGGGCCCCGTGACGGGGAGCCGAGCGTCCCACCGCCCCAGGCCCGTCAGGCTTACGGGGGAAACCCCAAGTCGGGAGGAACCGTCCTGGGGGGTCGAAGGGAAAGTCCATGGCCGACGGTGCCACCAGGGTCGATGGAGAGGGCAAGGGCAGCCCGGATAGGGCCGTCCCTGTCAAGTTCGTTACAAGGCCTCGACCCGAGGCGGTTCCGTGCGCGGAGCCCCGGCGCTGCGTGGCGAAACGAGGTCGCGACCTAGTATGGGAAGGAGGGAGAGGTGGTCGCCACAGCGTGGCCCAGAGCCGGCAGGTCCGGTTGCCTCACTGCCGGGGGGAGGGCTCGCGCACCGGGCCCTCCGAAGGATTCTGACGGTACCACTCGCGGGAGGCGGGGGTCCCTAGGTCCTCAGATCCAGTCGCTTCGTCGTGGTTGAAATGTGGGTCGGGGGAGAAACCGGCCGTTCAGTGTGCTGGTTTTCTTGACGGCCAGGACTGAGCCTAACCCCGAGGAGCGGCCGCGTGAGGCACCAGGAGCCCACCCGGCGCCGGGCGGGCGGGTCCATTTTGCCGCACAAGCCGGGCACTTGGCAAACTGCGGATGGGCAGGTCCACTTTCCTTCAGGGGTGAGCGGCCTGAGGTATGGGAGGGCGACGCCATTTCGCGACGGGGGCGGGCGGGATGGATTGTTCCATGGAGCGGGGGGGGTAGCGGGCCGGGGGGGCGGGGTGGGAGCG